AGAAAAGATTTCTAGCGCTCTGGGAAGTGGAAGATCCAATAAGATTAATTCAATACACTCCCTCAATGGTATATAAATCTTCACGATACGATATGGAAACATCGTGACACCTATCGACCAGTTTATGTACTACTCTCCCGTACAAATACGTCCACCACGTGTCCTGTTGTGGAACAGATACCTCAAAGCTAAATATGTACCCCATCTGTTGAAGAATTTTACAGACTGAACGGTTTATCAGTAATTTGATTTTGTAACGTTGGCCACTCCGTAGGAAACCATCTTGAATCCTCGTCCCGTGCGTAACAAGAATGAAAATTGAGCTCGAGGAACAAGTGTATTTGTCAGAGAACAGTTTGCTGAAGTTTTTAGTAGCTGGAAGGAACGCACGATTTTGGGTGAATTATATATACCAAGACAGAAGTTAAAGTGAATTTCACACCAAATAAATTTGATGACTATTATAGCATGTCGTCGAAAACATACCAATACATATTAAATGCTACTGATGAAGCAATGTAAAAGCAGAGTCATTTCCGAGACTCTTTCATCATCAGAACGGTTAACGGTGGCATTGAGGTAAGATTTCTCATGTGGAGATTGCTCAATACGTGTATTGAAACTTAAATCAGATAAAGCTGATTTAATCGTAAAGTTCATATGCTTGTTACGTAATATTATTATCGAGAAAGAAGGTATTTGTGATTCAACTGTCACATCGTCGACACCACAAAATGTAAACATAATAAATATTAACAAATCACGATCAAATAATTGGTCAGCAGAACTGGTCCTTGACATCAGAGATACATTTAAAAACTGTTTTAACAATAATGAATGTAGCATTGTCCAACAGTTTAGCGTTCCCTAATTATCTGTGGCACAATCCACTACTTCAATACACATAAACGTAGAATTTGTACTGATGTAGCATGGAACAATTTGTAATAAATATAAATTACTATATATATATATATATATATATATATATACTCACTTGAAACAATTCATAACCTCACTAATTTTTTTTTACCATAAATTTCTTTAAACCTGTTGTGACGAAGTTTTCATTTTATGGTCCCACAAAAGCTTTTACATTGAACACAAGATTAATTATTTTTTCAGTATACATCACTTCGCGCGACTGAAAATAAAACCTGTTTCGAAAGATGAGCGTTGTCAAGGACACACGCAGGGAATATGCGTGCAGTGTGACCGCAGCCTGATCCGGAATAAACAGGTGAATAGTTTTGTGTAAAGTCTCTCGTTCGATTATCGTCTATGGTCAGCTTTGACCCTCGTAAAGTACCACAGAGGTTTCGCCTTGCCCTCCGTGGTCAGTCTTTATCCATCAGACTGGAAGAGAAAAGACGCGGACAAACATCCATGCCTTGAGTGGGACTCGAACCCACGGTCAGGCGCACAAGGTCCATGTCTTAGACAGCGTGACCACTGCTGCCGGTAGTTAGTGTATTATAGGAAGGCAAAGGAAATTTGTCGCGCTATACGCCATGTAGGCGCTTGAGGGGAGAGGCTGTATTAAAATGTGTTTAAATGAAACCTATATCAAAGTTCATACAGGTAAACATTTGTCTGACAAGTTTCCTATTCAGAATGGTCTAAAACAAGGAGATACTTATGTTCGTGAAGGATGATCTTTGACGCTAAGGGAGGGATGTGAACTGATGGTGTTTGAGTTCAGAGTGGCTGAGGAGAATATTTTGACCCAAATGGGATGAAACGCTAGGAGGCTGGAGAAAGTTGCATAATGAGATTATATGGGCAGGGCACGTAGCCCCCCGTGGGAAAGACGAGGAATGCGTGCAGGGTTTTGGTAGGCTAACCAGATGGAAAGAGACCACTAGGAAGACCTAGATGAGGATGAGGTGGCATGGACTGGATTCATCTGGCTCAAGATAGGTATCAGTGGCAATGAACCTTCAGGTTCCATAAAATGTTTGGAATTTCTTGAGTGACTGAGCTTGTCAGGAAGGACTCTGCGTTTTGGAGAGAGTAAGACGCTGCCAACGCTTATGTAGAAGTACCTAATGGAGAAGTCCAAGAAGAAATTAAGGAGAAATTTAAGGAAATTCTTTATTGATGTATGTGGATTTAGAAAAGAGAACCTTTCTAGTTGCAGAACTTTTTTTTTAAAACATTACTGCCCCTGTAAGTGAAGATGATTCTTAAAAATTTGAAAATATTATTTAGTTCATTTCACTGAATGAAACAGTGAATTAAGTTCTACTCATGGTTAGGGATGATTTTGCAGTTATTATAGAATGCAGATACAATAATCCTGCCAATGAGCGCTTGGAACAAACTGTCGAGACCAAATACTCGGATATGTTTTAAGATCATAAGTTAATTCGAGGAGTTATAAAAATATATATTCTTATGGATGTAAGTATTTATGATGATTTTGAAGTTTCATAACTGCCACGGTGGTCTAGTGGTTAGAACGCTGGCCTTGTAATCCTGGGGTCTCGGGTTCGATTCCCGGCGGTGCCCGAATTTATAACTTGTGTTGGGCAAGGCCGTGGTCTAGGCAACACGGAGTTTTCCTCCGGGGGCTTCTTCCCCGGTTTCTCCGTGGCATCCCAACAATTACTCCATTCACACACAGAAGAAGGCAATGGCAAACCACTTCTGGATCATCTGCCAAGAACGTATATGAACAGGTCCCAGTCCGAGAAAAGGATGGAAGGATTCTGTTCGTAATATGTCGCCAACCTCCTGTAAAGGAGGCTTAAGGTGTGTGTGTTTGTTCTTTCTGATGCGATGTCTCAGAATAATATTTAATATTTTGTGTTACTCATATTTTAAATATTTCTTTCATTATAGTGGACATTAAATTGTTAACGTTCTCATTTCTGGATATAACATGCCATGTTTTTATTAATCCAAGTTCTGTGCTATTCATTTCTTTTTGAAAGGTGGAAAATAGGAATTCGGGGAAAATGTCTTACACCATACAGTCCCTTCATGACATTTTGTAATCAGAATTGGGTGTAACATGGAAGTTCCAACTTCCTTGTTATTCTTATGCCTCAACAATTTGTGATTGTTCTTAAAACTTTAACGCTGTTATGTGTACTGAACAAAAGCTGTTTTTTTAAGGTGTGTGTGTTTGTTCATCTTACGCTCTGTTGTTGAAGATCTAACTCTTTTACTAATGGCATGTGAGCTGTACATTTTACCAATTTTTATATTTTTTGCAGTGTATAATATTTATTATCCAATATTCTAATGACCAAAGTCAGTGTATGATCTGAAGCTTTCATGGCGACAAAGTATAATTAATTCTCGTCGGGCTACCAGCCATGTAATGTGGTTTAATGGGGGAAACGCTAATGTTTCGAGAACCACCTTCATCCTCCTCCTGCTCAGGGTACTCCAGTAAACCACCTTACGTGAATTCGTTATAGGCCAGAGTCAATGTTGGATGTAACATAAAATCATAAAAATATCCGCCTACTTTATATTCATGTTATGTTTTAAATTATCTTAACTTTTTTTAAAATGTTTATCAAGTGACAGCAATTATGAAAAAAGAAAGTTTAGTGGAATGTGGTTGAAGTAAAAGATTTTGGAAAATAATCTGTCACCACAAAAGCACAAGCTAAATGCACACCACATTAGAAACTTCAAATAATAGGTCCGCTGAATTTGAATCGCTTTGGAAAAAAAAAATTGTCATCCACAAATGCTCTTCACATTAAATTATTTACCCTGAAGCACAGTTTGTATTGCAACTTACCGTACACTGATCTCCTTGTTATCTTCGTGCGGGTATCGTACAGCCATTTTCTTACGCCATTCGTTTGAGTATATCATAAACGCATTTGGCGGTCGAGGAATTCTGTGATCCCACACGAGAGCACAATGATTCTTAGGTGTTTTTTGGTCATGTTTCACTTGTTTCTTCTTTTGACACTGTTTCTTTGGCTTCTGGCGATAAGACTGGTGCATGTGCTGACTATTGCTTGCAATGTGGTCTATGTTTTCTGAAAGAATAGTGGAATCCATAAATATAAGAATCAGAATATGGTCAGCAGTATAAAAAAATCCATGGCTGTTTCCGATTAACCCAATCCTGCAGGACACATTTTTTTTGAAGAGTTAGACATAAACAACTGAAGTAATACAATTTGCTGTAAGATATTGTAGGTGCGTCATATTGTGATTTATTTAAATAGTATTAAAAATATATTAAAATTGGCCGTCAATCACAATATAAGATAATTAAAAGATTAAAATATCAAAAAAATCCAATCTCTCCTAATACTGCTACGATATTACTTCTCGGGTAAGTTTACATGATTACTTTCATCTATTTTGTTTTCTATATTCAATTTTCATTAATAGTATTGAAACCTTTACTTCACAGTCCAATATACACAACATTGGCATCACTACGACATACAATCATATTAGTGACATGTGACACAACAACGGATGAAGATACAATATGAAGGACGAGAAAATGATAAGAAAAATGAAAACTAAAAATCATTAAAAATCAGTAATTCAGTTAAAAAGTTTATAACATAACACCTGATGACGGCTCTATGATAGCCGAAACATGTCGTAAATGTTCCATATGTAAATCGAGTACTCGATACGGAACGAAAAATGATATTTTAATCTTTTAATTATCTTATATTGTGATTGACGGCCAATTTTAATATATTTTTAATACAATTTGCTGTGTTAACATATCTGAATACAGGTGCGTGTAGAAGGGGTGAGATTTCAATAAAGTCGGTACAACAGAGAATGTGTGAATTGTGAGTAATAGACACACAGTTTTGTTTCAGATGACACCACGAATAAAAATATCTAATAGTACAGAGCAGCATTACGACTGGTCAGTTTCTATATCCCTCAGCCATAACGAACACATTTCTTAATATTATTCCAGTAGTATTCAGTTGATAAAACATCCTCTGATACGCACATCACTCAGAAAAAATTACTCTTCGGATAACATTTTAGAGGAAGCGGGCCAATTTTCTCTTGCAGTCCCACTGACATCAATTAGAATAGTTTACAGCAGGTTATTTTACGAGCTTCCTTAACTGCAGACATGAACATATTTGTTGGGCCCCTTTTTATCACGTATGATGCCTCTGGTTGCAGATTAAGGACGTGGCCCTCAGATATAAAGGTAGCTGCAAATAAGGAGTCACAGGCAGCCAAAAATAGCTGGTCCCTGGCTTTGGGTTGGATGGGCATTTATAATTTGTCACTGTAAAGTGTGTTTAAAAACGATTAAGATATACTATATTTAATTCAACAGAGCAGTTACAACAACCA